TAACCTTATTTTTGTAATAAAAATCGTAATTAAAATGATATCGAGAATGTGTTTACAAAATTTTTCATCTGGTCATCTGAAAGCGCTTAATAATTGGTGTCATTTTTACGTCAGTAGTCTTCAGATAACAATGACGCAATATATACGTAGATCTGTATCTCGTCTCTAGTTCTACCTACACAGGTTTATCTGCTCGGTACAACTGTTTATCGTCACAAACAAATAGACATATTACACATGCGTCATGCAGTAAAATCTTTGATTTTACAGCCTTTCATTGTCTTTCGTCATTCTACATATACCTACTTACTACAATGACTACTGTATCTGTGTGGCCTCTTCACTTCCAAATTACTACTTACATTTGACGATAGTAATATCTAACCGCTATTTATAAAAATAGATGAAGTAAAATAACAAATATGTTCAGATCTAACCAGTTATTCAAAGTTATTTTATTCTGGAAAATAATTTAATTATATATCTGTAAATTATTTATTCATTGTACCGGTTGGCGAACCTAATTGACTAACTTCATCTTCATACTTATTACATTCTGATATGTTGACAAGAACTAAGACCTCCTTCTTTTTAGAATTTTATCACGTAATAAAACTACTCACTACAACTACCGCTCTTGTACTGTTTGTTCATTAACGTGCAAATACCAATTCTTTATGAGAAAGACCCACCATTATTAGTTAAGATCCCATCATTTTTACTCAATGTAAACTTACGATCCCCCAAATAGTAATTAACCCCCACCCATAGCAAATCTACACGTCTGTAAATGCAACACGTACTTCAATATTCATTAAGATTTACTCCCGCAATAAAACCTGATTCAACTAAATAAATAAATTTCTTTTTTTATAAGTTACCGTTGCCTAAAATCCTACGAAATATCTTAGGATTGAACGATTTCTAATAGTCCCATTATAACCGATTCAAAACTAAACCCTGTTATTATTTATTTTACAACTTCACACTATATCTAAACCCAAAAAACAAGTCATCCTGCTGCCCGTTTCACGCCGATGCCAATTAGCATGTCGTTTGAAGATGCGCTGCTCTCTAAAGTCAAACGTTCAATAAGCTACAATGATACTAATATGATATTGTAAATGAAACTCTATCAATATGATTTTAACTCTCATTACAGATGCAAGATGCTACATTATGAGGCATTTCATAAAAGACGACAACCAGTCAGTAGCATGGAGTCGTGTGCGCGACACATGAGTAATGACAACAACGCAGCAACGTGTGTCTAAGCCGAACGATCCCAGATGTGCGTCTGGTTGTACGGATTGCACCAGTTATGCAAGCTACATAGTAATGTTCATAATTACACAAACAAGAATGTCGGCGCAGATAACGTATGTGTACCTACATATATTTGGAAAAATGTCGTCTTGCATAATTTTATATTTGGAAAAATGTCACAATGTATTCAGCCTAAACTTATGTGGTTTCTTAACGCTAAATGAACATATTTTTCTAGTAATTTTGAATGTTGTAACAAATAAAATACTTAGAATTTAATACGAAATAAAAAATAAATATGTTCATTTTTTTTCAAAGAAAGACGTAATGTTCTTTAATATAAACTTATATTTTAGATTTTATAAATTCAAAAACAACTTTTCTAATTTTATTGAGCTATAAAAGAAAAATTAAGTAAATGTAAAGAATCCCAATAAAATACAAAGAGATTATGAGTAAGCAGATATGCGAATTCAAAATCACGAAAATAGAGCAAAGAAGTGACGTGATAGTGTGTACATAATATACAGTAAATTCTATAAACTTCTTATAAAATAATACTAGAATTTGGTATTTACGTAGTGATAAGTAAAACATAAATCAAGAAAAGAATTAAACACAGAATTCAAGAGCATTATTCATAATAAGATATTTTCACTACATACGACAATATAAATACTCAGACAAATGTTTACATGAAATGTAAGCAAATTGAGGGTTACATTTGGTACAACATTAACATACATGATTTTGAAATAGAAAAAACGAAAGGATAATTGGGAGCACATTATGTGCAATATATACAAAATTACTATATGTTATATTTTTATATTGTACTTTATATAGGTACCACTATATAAAGTACAATATAAAAATATTTATATTAACCTACCACCTATTTGATATTGTACGGACATTGATTATAGATAATTCGTGTTGTTTTCATTGGTTTAGAATTGTTTATAAAAATAATTCTAAGCCACCGTTGTGATTTCATCTTAAACACGTGATATGCAATCACGTCTGTTTTTTCTTCACGCTCAGTGATCTTTTATCGTTTGACGACACCAGAAAGTGACATAAAAAGTGCCACTTTGTGAATAGCGGAGCAGGCAATGGTGCGTGAAGAGCTGCGTCTGCGCTGCGGCGCCGGTGGCCTTTGAGCTTAGTTTTATTTTCTTGTTTCATTTTGAGTAAATCACTCCAAGGGTTATGGTTCATAATGAATTATCCGAACAAGCGACAGCGATTATATAGAATATAGTTTTAGTCAGTATAGACAATACTAGGGGTGGGTAATATATATTGACCCAATAACAAATAAATTAATTATTAGTATAATATCGAAGTAAAGAATATAATCAAAATTAATATAGATATCCAACTAGTATAAGTGATATTAAAATAGGTAATTATCTTCTTTTCAGTCCTTATAATTCAGAGAAACCCAATATATAGATATTAGCGGTACCGATACTAGTATTACTTATGTCTAGAATATACATTGCTGATATAGAAATAAAATTGAATGTCATAACAGGAATGAATGGCGTGAGAGACGAGCTAATTGGCAGCCACAATGCATACCTGTTATATGATAGTGAGAGTTACATTATAGTAAATATAGTCCAAATGATGCAAGCATTACGCAGTATGTACAAAATTGACATATCATGCCCTACCAGGCCATCACGCGATTCCCTCTGGAAACCGTCGTGATTAATTCTTGTGGAATTCGTTACGATGGGCTAACGAATCTGTTTTCATCCTTACCTACAGCTCCGACGAAGTTACTATTTCATTTTAATTCCATTAAAAAAAAAACAAATAATATCGGTATTAATATTGCGAGAGTAAGTTGGTAAGAAATAAAATCAAGCCACGTGCTTGAAAGAGTGTTGAATGAAAATATAACGAAACAGTTATACAATGTGAAAGTATACTAACCGCTCATGCTCACACGGTTACAAGTATTTCTATTATCTGATAGAGGAGACAAAGAGTATTCGGAACCGGCGTGTTTGCGTGAGATGAGCTATGAAACGAATCGAGCATGAAGCATGCAGCAATGGACACTCGACTCTAGCTGTCTACTTCTTAAGTGATTTGACATGAAAATATATTTATATTAATTAATGACTATGAAACAAAACCATAAAAATGTAGTAAAAATTGTAATGTAAAATTTTATAATACTTTTTTACTTATATCTGTTGAGTCATTACGCGATAACTAATCGTGTTAATGAAATTTGTGAAAAGGAGCCACTGTCATTTGCTCGAATAAAATTAGTATAATAAATTACTTTTTTATTTCTTTTGTTAATTACGAAACTTTTTTTTCGTTATATTTAAATGTTATCTGAAACCACATAGTAACAACCCTACGTGCGCTTCGAGTGTAAATAAACCGCATTACTGTCCTTTATTACTAGCTAAAAGCTAAACGATACTCAGTGATTTATTATTTTTTTCAGAGCTTGATTTATGTGAGCTAAAGAAGTGTTCGCATGCGCATACACATGTCTATTTGTGGCTAGGCCGAAATAACTGGCAAAACGAAACGTGTATCCGGTCCCTAGTCGCCGTACTGTTTACTCGCAAACGGCCAGTGCGCTTTGTATAAGGGATTATACCACGATTTGTGGTAATGCGGTGGCCTCTTCACTGGTTGTATTTTCCTTTAACCACTGACTAAATCTTTTTCCTGCCGGATAAGATAGTTATCGTGTTTAATAATACAAAGTGAATGCTTTTATAAGCATGGACGACACGTTTTTTTTAAAAATTTTTTTTTTTTTTTTATTTTAGTTTAAATATACATCGAAGAAATTACGAGTATCAATAACTTGTTATTTTTTAAGTACAATATTTTTGTGAGTACTTTCATCATATTTACCAATAGCTAATTTAAAACCATGTTCTACACACATCCACCATAGAAAAAAACTATTTCAAGCGTGTCAAAACCAGTTATTTTTATTTAAAAACTAAACTAGTGAACCAATTTCGATAAAATTTCTGTGAAACCAATAAAAAATATAATCTAACTGAGAACCTCCATACGTCTTCAAAAAAGCATTTTTAAAGGGATATTTTTTTCATATTTTTCATTAAAATAAAAAAAAATGTTTTGTTTAATTTTGGTGCCAGTAAGGTATTATTTTTTTAATACAAACATTAACAGTATAATTTTTTTAGATTATTTAGGTACTAGTTGAAAAGTAACTTCCTTTTAACCGTTAATTTTCAATTTTATTTAAAAGTTTACAATCATCTTACGAAAATCCCATTATTTTATTATAGCTGAACTACTATGCTACAATGATGTGAAGTCAGAAATAAATTACTCATCTTACTGACTGACGCCCACACTCTAACGACATTTGCTAAAGAATATATTTCGATGCTTTTATATTTCACTCGCTAGTGTCTAGTAAAAATTAATTCAATTTATTAATACACAATATGTTTAAATCTAAGACTAGTAAAAATACACATAACACATTTTTTTTACTTTATTATTTTAGCATTTTTTATTATTATTAGGTATACGCGAAGGCATGTCGTTTCATCTTAAGTCAAGTAAGTACTTTTATTTACACAAAGTTAAAACTGTATGCAATACACTTTACAATACACATTTACTTTTTTCAACACAATTTCTAATAACTGTATTAGAGTAGCAATAATTTGTTAGGAAATCGAAGTATCTCGAACGGAGCAGGCACTCACCAGGGACTCATAAGTCGGGATGTTTATCTGGCGGCCCGTCAAACTCAGCTGTGATCTCCCATAGCATCTTCCGGTAATTACACTACAAACTACACCCAACACGCGTTGCTAAAATTCTTCTGCAGATCGAATTACTTAGAACACCATGTCTCGCAAAGAGTTTCACGACCGCGTTAACGACTTAACTCGGTTATTTACTGTTCAACTTTTCTAGGTTTTTAGAGTAACTCGCCCGAGTGGTGAGTGATTTGAGTTGTCGTTTTACGTTCTTTATCTGTCTGTAAAAATGGGGATATCTGTGGACACTATGTGTTATCTCCATATATATGAGGTAAACCAAAATTCAGTAGATGCATATTCACGAAATTGAAATTAAGTTGAGAAATTACAATAGAATACTCGAACGTTGTAGAGTATACTTAATAAGCATATAATTTATTATTAACAATGTAACTTGGCTATGTCTATATATTTCATGCGATTTCAAACGAAAAAAATTGTCAATAAGACCATATTTGTTTTGTACGTTTATTGTGTCTACTTATTCTGTAGTATGTCTATTTATTCTTTTTGCAGTTGTTAAGCAATACATCCAACTTGCTGTCATACAGAGAACTCGATTAAACTATTTATTGTTAATCTCAAATTACATTATATTTTAATTAACCTTAAATGTATTACTGATCATAATTTATATTAACTATTTGAAAATACGAAAATGAATATTAAAATGATATGTAACCCTACATTGCAGACACCGACATAATATGATTAGAATTTTTGAGTATTGATGCTATAAAATTTCTGTACATGAAACTAATGTACTACAAAGTTCAGAATTGGTATCGCAGCACAATCCAATGTGGAAATTAAATAAAGACAATCCGTTCGTTCTGCATCAGAAACTCCGCTACTGCATTATTCAACGTATGCAAAATCTCTAGATTAATAATAGATGAATTCGAAGGTGAATTCCTCGCAATCGACGTACGAATGGAGTTGTGACCCTTTCAGAACCTGAAAGGGGTTCACAAGCTATTGTTTCCGCAGAAAATTCAATAATTATTTTTCATATTTGAACAGAATTTTAAGTATATACTATAGACAACTAAAAATATTAAGCTAAAAAGTTGAATTACAAAAAAATTAGATTTTATTTTTATATATACATACATAAATACAATATAATAACTATGAACAACATCAGTTACAAGATTTCGCATTTAGTACAATTTGCATCATAATCGAAACGTTAAATAAATATCTACTCAATTAACTACAACCCGCATCGATGTTTACTGCCCATTTTGATAGAGATAATAATGCCTTCTTTGTTAATTCAAGATATGGTGTTGCAAATTTCATTCAAATACAAACAAATATCTAAACATTCAAACATCTTTACAGACTTTTATATTATATCATATTTACAGCATTATTTCGGAGACAAATACACGAGACAAGAAATTCAATCTGATTTACTGCATTTTTGTATTCCCATAGAGATCTAACATAGGAGTAATGTGGGCGTAGTAGGTACACGAGTAACAGCCTTTCGTTCAAACTGCGTTAATCTTGACGATGTCTCGCTTCTCATAACTGCTCTTTGAAGATGTTATAACTAGATTCCCTTGTTTCTTGATTGCGGATCTTGTTCCAACTTATAATTTTATTATTCAATTATCGGCAGGTGCTAGCCATTCAAAACTTTACGTTTTCAAAACTTTGGATTTTGGCATTTCTCGCGTTCCTTTTACATTTATTTTGAAGAATCTTTTATTGAGTAATTTCTCTTTGCAAATTTTGGGAATTAATGCTTGAACAAATTCAGTAAGTAGCAGAATTTTAACTATTTTCTATTATAATTAATTCAATGGCGGTAAGCGTTAAACATGTCGCAAACTTAGTAACTATTCTGTGTATAATTATATATTTTTAATAATTCTTTCAATTAATAGTATTCAGTTGTTATTTCTTGATTTTTAGGCAAAGATCACTTTAATGATAATTGATCCTAAAATAGAGAAACTATAATTTAAGAATCTAAATATTAACTGGGGACATAAAATGAATTATTTAATTTAGAAGTATATTTTCTTTTTAATACAAAGCATACTTACTACTACTAGTAATGACGACAAAGATAGCGATAAGGCTTATAAGGAAATAAAATATAGAAAGAAAATTTCATAGCTAAATCATAAATAAAGAGACGAGAAGCAACAAATTTATTCTAATTTAGCTTATAATCTGATATATTAATGTAATAGATATATTAATGTAATGTCCTTCACGCAACAAATATAACTTATATCAGATTTTTAAAGAAGTAAACATACGAGTATATTTTCATTTATATTACTCATATTTCAAACGACGAAAAAGCTAAGGAAAGCGTGTAACAAATTCAAAATGAAGACGCAATGCGCAAGAGCACATGCCAAGCAAACAATTGACTTGATAATAACCATAACGAGTCCAGCGCCGATACCGTTCTCAGCTGTATTGTGTTCGAGCCAAAAGAACACGCAACGACCTTAACCATTCGAGAATTATAACTAAGCTTTAAAGGAAATAGTTTAAGTATCATATAAAAACGACTATATATAAAAGGGAACGACCTGGCAACGTGAATTGAGTGAAACTCTTGAAATACGACGAAATATTGGTAATACAATAAGTAATTTCTGAAATTCGATTAGGAATATCACATTCCGGTCTTATGTACCTATGATTATAAATGTAACATCGTAAATACAAACTGCTGAACAAAAGTTAACAAAATTTGGTAATTATATTATTTTTTGAATTATCAAAAATAAACAATATCCAGGATTAAGATATAGCTTTTTTAATTTCGGTAATGCAGAATGTTAAATAAACTGTAATCGAAGACCGAAAAGAGGACTTCTCGAGAAAAGACGAATAAGAAATAAAGTTTAGCATTTCTTAAAATATTTTTAGAAAATTACATTTCGAGAGTTTAACGTGGAGCTGTGAACAGATTTATTTTTGTTACAGAATTACTTTTTTAACTAAAAGATTTCGTTGCAAAACCGCATCTCTGTAATCAATTATAACCACACGATAAGAAAAAAAAAGTATTTTTTTTTTAATGCTATATTACTAACATATTTTAGGTCATGAAATAAGTAGGTATCTAGGATTCTGCAAGCTTCCAACTAATAATGCTCACATTGTAGCACATTTATCTGCTAGTCACCTAGTTTGTATAACTCCTAAGGCAGCACGTCAATGATACAGCAGCCACGAGGACGACGCAGATAATAGAGCTGAGCCTTTTGTCTAGCAAGTACTTGCTGCTAAACGACAAAACGACTTGCGCTCGCAACATTCAAATAATGAGTTACTTTACTAAATAAACTAGAATAACTTATCCTTGTCCCATTTCGTAACAACGTAAGCATTTTAAGTAGAGAAAATTTTCCTGTAAGTTTTGCAAATTACCTACTCAAATGTAATACAAATAGTTGTAATAAAGCTATGAAAATAGACGGTGCAAGAAATAATATAAAAGAATTGAGAGGCACTCGGTTCGCTTTCTCGTAGTGGACTTAGTGCTAATATGTAGGAGGATAATTTAATAGTATTAACATTGTAGAGAAACTAAATGATATAAATAGTAAATCGACATTCGTAAAATCCGAATTAAATTTTAGAAAAATATTCCAATGTATATTTATAAATATTAGAATTTTAGAAAACTTATGCACAGAAAAGGCCTTGATACGTGGCTTAACCTATATCTGACATATATTAAAATCTGTTATAGTCTTTGTTAAAATTCTGGTAAGTACAATAATTGGCACAAAACTTGATCAAACTAAAACTTATCAAAGAGTTAACTTTTAATTGAGTAAACCGTAAATTAATTACAATCAACATAAGTAACCAAATTCCGGTTTTTAAGATACTTTACTTAACGTTGTAAACGTGCTAAATGCACGTGGCCAAGCCCTAGGGAAATAAAATTTAAAACCACTTTTTATCATCAATATGATGTAAATTTTATAGAAAAAAAATCAACTCTGATCTCTGATATCTGTTTCTCACAGCCTGATATGACAGCGTGAAATTTAGCAGTGATTTCAAGTAAATATGAGGTTGGTAACTAATAAAGTAATTTCAGAATAATTCCCACGAGATAGTGATCATGAAATCCACTTAACCGATAACAACATTCTTTATTAGAACGAATAGGTAGATGTTACAACATTGCTTTTTTTTTAACGAGAATATATAGCTAAATACACGATGTCATTATCACAGTACTTAGGCAGTGTTTGTTATCTTGGCACCTTAATGTTGTTTGCTTATCGAATTATTACATTAATACATGTACAAGTATATACCTTTATTGTCAGGTAGATACTCTTCCTATTTCAATACGATTAACATTTTAAAAAATTAACAATATATACATATTCACGTTTAAATATGGTAAAATATGAGGATTTTAGTAGGTATAGATATAATGACATATTATCAAATTGTGATGGATTTTTAATTTTTTTAATAAATTCAACATAGAAAACGGACTTTGTTATTTGTAGAAGGGAGATTATGGGGACTGGACTACACCCATCAGCGATAACACTTGGTATGTCGTGATACTTATAATTTCAAATATTATCTTATCGACTCGACTAAGGCAAGGTGCAAACATCTCGTGTAAACATTTTACGCCACCCGAGACTGATTTGTGTTAGAATAAATTATTTTTGTGGGTCACCATTCCCACCAAATTCGTTTTAGTAATTACTATATAATTATATATATTAATAATTTGTAATATAATAATAATAATAATAAACCACACGAGACAGTTATATTACTTATCCAGTAAAAGTAGAGAAAGACACACATAAACATATTTATAAAATTTTGAACAAAGATATGGTACTTAAATTGTCTGCACCCGCACTAAATTACAATTCAATATTAATACTGTATTCATAATAATACTGTTTTTACAGTAATACTGTTAGTTGAATTACTTAACGCGCACACTAAACTGTTATCAATGAACAATACTTATATAGGTAGATAGTTAAATAATGTTGATAAGTATATTACAAAATCTTATTTCGTAATTTCGTTTATATGGATGACGAAATTGTTAGCCATCCCTAATTTACCCATAAAAAAACGAATCATTATTTTATAATACTATTAATAATTAATATATTAGAATAATTATAAGAAAGTTAAATTTAACATCAATTAATTTCCTTGAATATATTTAAGTTTCATTTGTTATATATGCACTATTTAATATAATAATACTACCGAGTAAAATTATAATAAAATATGATACTATATATACTTAGATTTAACGACGATAGACAAATATCTATAAGTACAAGTATCAAAGAGATTGCTACTAAAATAATGCCAACTTGACGATATTTCTTTGTATGAATAACTAATTCTTATTAAACATAGACTCTAAAACTGAAATAACCGGACAGACATAACGGATGTGAGAGGTTAATGTCATAAGTGTTCGCTATTTGCACATTTCCCGGTACATGTTCGTGATCGACATAACCGATAATATCTCAAGTGTATTGCCGATGCAGCGGCCTAGATATCTCCAGGGAAGAACAAAGTTGGCATAGATGTGGAGGATCAAAGTGCAGCGTGGGCGCCGACCCAATACCGCGGGCGGCATCACTCGCGCACGCGCACCGGACCTTTCGCGTTGCACTCACGCAATTAATTGATTTGATGCATAATAAAATTGCTTCCAGATAATTGGCGTGATTTATTATTGGTCACTAAATATGAAAAACGTTTAATTTTGCAACACTGATCTATGGAATAAACAAATATATAAATAAATTTATATTTTAGTAAATTCATAATTAAGATTGATTTCTTTTCAATTAGGTAATTTAATTTTTTTTTTTGGATTGGATTGGAATAAAACAATGATTACGATTTTGTTGTGTATTTAAAATAGTTTTACATATATTACAAGTTATTGCTTAATGCCAATTATTGTTATGCCCTATATTACTAGATATGAACGAAAGCGCGCCGGTGCCGGTGCCGTGCGTTACGTACTTTAGATTGAGGTTATGTTGTGATAACTGTTTGGAGAAAAAGCCGGCTATAATAGCCTTATATAGAATTTTCCACTGAATATTAATAGAGATAAGGCCGAAAATAGCTCGCACGCCTTTAGGGCGGAGAGGTCGGAACAGCGGTGGAGGCTGCGCGCGCACCCGGCATGGCCGCCACCGCACACCTGACTGCCAATACAGCTCGACAATATAACTGGATTACAGCATATTACACGCGTTTACGACGCTGTAAACGACCTCAATACATCACACATAGAATTTATCATGATCACTAATGAAACCACTACCGCTAACGACAACTTCCGATCACGAATGAGTAATCAGCTGACTATCAAACTTTTACCGGTGTTTATCTAAAACGAACTCACGGAACGCTAAAAGTTCATCACTGAAAACGTTTCGCGGCGCTCATCACAGTAGTGAAAAGTAGATTTCCAGAAGCCTAGTCGGTCGACAGTCGCCAATGAGTGCATCAGATGCACAATCGTAGGCGGCGCAGGCGAAGCACGGCCGTTGAACCGATGAGCGTACCTGGACTAGTCTGCCAGCTGAGTCCTCCGACGAACATCTTCCTGCAAGATAAACATAGAGATCAGAGGTAGATGAAGTGACGGAGCACGACGAACGGACACTTCCAGAAGGTGGACATACCCCGGGTCGTTGGGCACCTCGGCGGGGCTTCGGGCCGTATCCTGGTTCTGGGTTTCCATGGGCTCAGGCGCCGGCGGCGCGGGGCGGGCCGGACGGCGGGCACACTACGACTACGAGCGAGCGACGACGCGGCGGGGACGGCTCCCGGAGTCGCTCAGCTGCACTACCGACTACCGGCACGAGACTGGCGCGTCGCGCGTCGCGGCGCACCCCTCCACGCAGCGCCCGCCCGCGCCCCCGCCCGCGAGCCGCGACCCGCGTCGCCGTCGCATCGATTCATTCACTCCGTACACAATTATTCATACGGTGGGCACGACGGACGCCAGGAGTAGAGCAGCGCGCTCGGCACCACCACGTGAGCGCGCGGCACGTGCTCGCGCCCCTCCCCCCGTCCGCGCTACGCCGGCCCCCGCCCCGCCACGCTGTGAGCACGCCCACCGCGCGCCCACACGCTTCTAGCTACGTAACTACCCCCGCACTCCAAATGTTACCTCGAAACTTCACAGTAACAAATATTGATAATTACAAGTTTAGCGGTATCGCTAACTTGAAACTTTTGTATTGTTCGTAAATTTACAAAGTTAAAGATTGCGTTGCATCAGTATTTTTTAGTACAATCTTCAAAGAATGTCTTTTACATTTTTTTCCGAGTCAATATAGCTGATTACGAAACTAATCTATTTTACTATATTTTCTATGAAAGTAACACACGTGACGTAAACACAACTATTCGTGCAACGCCATGTAACGGCGAGCTACGAAACGCTACGCGGCTACCACGTGCTACGCGTTGTAGGCTGCGGATAACGGACTTGTCGCTTTTTCGTGTATCACCTATATAGTAGAAAAATGTAATGATCTATTACTAACAAATACTTTTTTAATTATCATACTAGTGACGTAATATTTTCAAGTACAAAAGATATTATATAAGAAATATACAACATTATGGACTTATTTGAAAGTAGTAAATTTAAACTTTATTTTACATAATACTTATTTTCTCCAATTGAGATGATTATTACTCCATTCTAATTTAAAATATAACACAGTACATGTTTTTGTTTGTTACATTTTTATTGCTAAATACATGAACTATATTTTAGACGACGCAACAATGTTAAGCACATTTGATTTTATCAATATGACACCATCAAAACCTTCAATGCAAACTTAATGACAACTATCACGTTTTTTTACATTACTTAATCCCATCAAATATCCTATAGTATCAAACTGTAATGTTGTTTTAATTTACTTTTATTAATATTATTTCATTATATTTAAATGTAGCACAAAATCAAAATAAGGGCGTGACAACACGAATTGAAAAACTAAAGTGGAAGTAAACATAACTCTTAGCAAGACAAGCTGGTGAAGTTGGATTAAGACCGTATAAGACCATGACTTGTTGACTGTACAAGTGATGTATTGGCGTAGGATCGTACATTATGACACAATACGACATGAAACAAATAGAGAGAAAGCTTATACTCAGTACCTATTGAGTGAATGTGTCTCTCTTTTCTTGGTTCGTACCCCCTAACTTATTTAAAGTTGTAGATCAGACTACCTCATACAAAAGTACATACAATAAAACAATAATATTAATCTCCTTCAGATTATGTATAAAACTTAAATGAAATTTCAGCAAACGATCTATACAAAACAATTAATAAATAACAAAAGTTTTCATAGCCTGATCTAAGGATATGCCGAGTAAATACTCAGAACGATAAAATTAAGAACAGTTGAACACTGAAAAGAGAGGCAAGTATTATTTTTACTATATTCTTAGTATAACGTATAAATATTTTTTAACAAAGTAGCTAAACTGACCGACTAAGTTGACTGACTGACAGAGACTGAAAGTATGCTAGAGTAATTGAAACTATACAGAGACAGAGACATTTATCTTATACAGATCGCCGCAGTAGGATTCTGGTAGTCTTATAGCTTGGGTAGGTAACTTAGATTATAAAGTATATAGATTGGTAATATAAAAGAGAAAATAATAGGTATATTACAGCGCGATAGACAAGTAGGGCATTCATTTACACAACATAAGATTGAAACTGATTTGGCGAGAGTAGCAATAAGTTTTTATCAATATATTTTTCGTTTTGAAGTTTTTACTATTTCAACTCCATATAGGTTAGGTGCACACATTTACAAGACACATTTTTTTCTCGTTTCATATAAGATTCCAAAAAACAATAGCTTTACAATATTATACTATATAATGCAATTTTGGAGCTTCCTTAAAAATTTTTCTTCCACTGTAATAAAAAAAAATTGATGGCATCATCAAAGGAATATCGTTGAGACAAGTTGTTACAGAGGAATAACACCCAAGTCCTAAAGAATGGCAACGCATGGAGGGGTATCATGGGCGAAACAGTATACTCTGTTATGTCCATGGTACTGCTCATAGGCGACGGTAACCACTTTCCATCAGGTGGGCCGTCAGCTTGTTTACCATTCTACATAGTGTAAAAAAAGTTATTAATCCGTTTTAGACGATGATTTCATCAAACAAAAGCATGACCCGCCTGATGATTAATGGCGATAGTAGTAGCTTATTTTTTTAATTACAGAGAACACTTCGTGTTTCTTAAATGACCAAGGTTTTTTTCAATAACGAATCATGAATTTATAGTTGAAGAGCGAGGCTAGTAGTTGAGCGACACGTACCTACGCAACGTTGTCCACGCCTTACGATGTTTCAAGTCCAAATTATTAAAGTGAAACTCGGTCTACGTAAGCATAATAAACCAGAGCTACATAACTTAAGATATAGCTTCTTGAATGAATATAAATTTATGTAAAAGCAAATTTAATTCCAAACAATCTTTAATCCAAAATTAAGGATCAAGATGTCACGTAGAAACCCAAAAATACGAAGACAAATTGAGAATCTCCAATTTGGAAGAATAAGGACTGTTTTCAGATCATTTATAAATCGGAAATTGATAAATAAATCATACAAAATAAAATTAGTGATCACATCCTTTATTACATATATCAAGCTCGTGATGAGAATATGGAATATTATTACAACCACGGATTATAGTTACAACCATATTTAATAAACATTTATAAAAAAATATTAGATACATATAACTGTAATTGTACCGTTCACTTGGTTAACATTTCTTCCGCAATTTTTTTAGGCATATTGTCGACAGATAAGAGTTATCATTTATCTGTAACACACAACCGCTGGTGTAACCAATAGTAAAATCTTTTATCATTTTTATCATCGAAAGACAGATTGATCAAGCCTTGAGAATTTCACGGAAGAAATCTTTAACATTACAATTGTGCATTTTAGTCTATTGACAATCGATAAAATAGATTCGGATGAATATAAACACGACTGATAAAAGCGTAGCCATAAAATGATTTTACTATACGGCTCGTTTTACAACTGTTTTATCGTTTGCATTTATGTCGGGTGTGTTGAAATAATGTCATATATGTAAGTAAACTGATAAATAATAAAAACAACAAAATTTGACGCAACAATTCTTGCCAAAGAGAGTCTATTAAATGTTACAGTACGCAGACAATACGGGAATGGAAATATGAACCTAATATAATCACAACAAATGTTCATAGGTTTACTTAGTGTATCTATTGAAGTTTCATTAAACGTAGATCGCTTTGGAAGTAAAATTTTGCGGTTTCCAAGGACCGCAATAAAACTGTTAGTGATATCAAAATAACATTTCATTTTGATTTATTGGTAAATAACACTAACATCTATAAAAACCAAGTGCAGTTTAAAATACAAACACGGTATAACAAATTTACACAAAATAAATAAACAAAGCCGCCTTCTTATTAAAATTGTTGGATTAGCTTGTAGTCTAGGAGAGCTCTCTTATTCCATTTTGTCTGGCTTTTACAGAGTTTGAAACCTTAGAGTATTTATATATTTTAAAATACACTATTGATCAACATAATTAATTTTTATTTGTTCTAACGTCTTTACTTGTTATTTGAGATTAATTATTTATATATTTGTTTCCATACTTATCGCCATAAAACGATTAAAACAATTTTTTTTCTTTTTGGGAAAACTTAAAAGAATCCCCATCACATTTATGAAGTTACAAGACACTCTATTCACAATAGATTGATAATTCAATACAATACAACTCTTAAATTAAATATTTTAAACATTTTGTTTCACATCTCAGCCTAACAATCAGTAGCTATTTCAGTAACTAACTTTAATAATATGAGTGGGATATTAATATGTAATAGTTAAAACAACCCTTTGAATACACAGCCACAGTCTGAGAACAATTAGTTAAGATTATTTAAAAAAATAAAATACCTACTTATCGAACATTTTCAGTAAATACTTTTACAAGTGTATACTTTTTTCAATAAATTTTACATTACATTAAAAATGTTATACAATATTTTAAATCATTACTGGTAAATCTCACATGGTTTAATTATTTCACTATAATGAACATATATAGAAAAATGTTTTAAATGTTAATGGTTGTAGAACGAGTAATTAAGTATAAAAATCTTAAGATGATTTTCAAAATAAAAATGAAGATATATATATTATAGCTTAAATAAACAGTATATATATACAAAGAACTATTTATAATAACAACTGTTGACGTAAATTGTACACCGACGTGTAAAGTCCTTACCTTTCAAGTTAGGTAAAAATGTGTTTTGGAAGAATGCAATAACAAAGAACACTATACTGTATTAATATATAGAATGCGTATATTTAAAATAAAAACAAATAAATAAATTGATCTTCTGTTAAACTGACACCCGTAATAGCCTACACGCCCCGGGGAAAGAAAATTAATGGTTGCTACTTTAAAATAAAATGTACGTTTAATAATAGCAACGATTATTTTGTTAAATGACATATCATTTAAATATCTACCATTTAATAAATATTTCTACAACAGGCATAAATATTTTTTATATAAATAGATACATAATGGCTGAAGCCAGAGACATGAGTAACACATTCCAGTCTATAATGAAAATGAAGTGAAAATGGATATATTATAATTTTTGCCACTTGTGAAGCAAATTGTCAAAACTATCGAATCTTAGTTTGAAGCAAGCGCAAACAAAAATATTTGTGAAAAGAAAGTAATATTCCCTGTGCGGAGGTATGTAAATATAATCATTCCTAAACACATTAACAATGAGGGACATTATGTAAAATTTTCATAGCGCACATTAGTGAGGAGATAAGCAGCATCTCGGTTTATTAGCAACGTGCCACGACGAGATGGCTTTTTCAACGATGTATTTGCGTAATAAAATACATGAAAATGACCCCCATCATGAAAACGACAAGGGAATTAGTCAAAAAAAGACAAACAAAACAGAGAACAAAAATCAGGTACATAGCAAATATTTTTAACAAAATTCAGAAACGCTTGCCTTACTCATAATAGTGGTTGGACAAAAATAGTTTATTCGATCCTAAGAAATGGTCGAATATTTATATATTTACTTCAAATTCTAGTACTAAAATATACTATTATACATATTTTTTCAAGCTAATTTAATATTTTTAAGTCGTGATGACCCATTCAATCGAATGCTATCAAGCCGAACTATTTTAAGCGTCGTTAAAATAGTTTAGCTCGATATGGGTTACTAGAGACGGTTCGGTGGCCTCTTTTTAAAGAGCGAACCGGAATGATGCAATAAGTAGAAGTAGGCATTAACACTTTATAAGATAAAAACATAACACAAACCATTATAACAATTACCATAAAAACATTCTACAAGACCTCATAATAAATACGTTTTAAATCATGTAGAAGTGCATCTCATTGTCAATTTTTTAGAAGAAATACTCTAATTAGAACATGTTCAATTGAGTACAATAAAAAATAATAATTACATCTTTTCATATCTAGTACGACTGAAAACTACATGGATACATGCAATGTTCTCTAAAATAGCATGTCCAAAAATATGACACAGCGAAAACGAAAACGGAAGACTTCATCTCAACTGTGCTTTACTATTATTTTCAAACTAAATTCTCTACATTTTCAGAACACTACGTAACTTAAAAAAAGTGAAATAATATACATTTTGAGTAAGTAGATACTTATTTTTAAGTAGTGTTTTACTATTGATTTGTACCCAAGTTGTTTACGTACTAAGTACCATAAACAATGAAAGTGACGCATTTTACATTTAAGAAGTCTAGTTTTTCTTTCACATTTAAACTGCTAATCGTGCTTTCACAATTTACCATATCATGGCATGATATCGTCAATTTTACAATCATGACGATGTAACAAGAGAGCAAAATGAATGCAATTATACGGAAACGGTTTTACATTTCAATATTGTGGACAGCACGGCATATTAAGCGTCTGCATATATAAATATATAATTTCCACTGATATACAAATTATCATACAAAATCGCATAAAATCGTAAGCAACACTAGTGACCTATTTATTATAAGCAAATAATATCAATAGAGTGACGCCGTAATCAAATTTGTCAATAATCTATTATCATTTAAGTACCTCAAAAAATAAAACAAAGATACTAATATTTTCAATGACAAATTAATTAAGTTAATGTTCTTTAAAACTTTTAAGTTTGTAAAACGAACCTATAGCTCACTACAGGTTTAGGAAACTGTAAATGAAGTGAACAATTTAATATAATAATAATTTTAAATAAATAAAAAGAAATAAGGATCTCAATCAATGATGCTATAAGTTAAAATAAAATTTATTAAAATATAATAATTTTATTATTTCCACAGCAGTGAAAGGTACTACATCAGGTTTTTTTAATCCTTCAAGTGGTCGCGTTGTCAATATTGAGCTATAAAAATATTTTAATTTTAAATCCTCTAATTTTCTAAATACGTTAAAGCTAAGCATATAATAATAACTAAAAAGCTAAGTAAAAAATTTTGAATACTTATTGCATACATATTGCAAGCTAATTAGTTAAAAATAAAGCCACTAATTGCACTTTAAGCAAGCGATTAAATCATACAGGTGAGATTCGGCAATGCAACTGTATAAAAATCACATAAAATGTTCATTTGTCATGCAAAAGCAGTGTATGTTGGCTACATACAATAAAAATTCTACAGTGCGACCAACTATTGCCTATTGGCAAAAATTTAAACATGTTCAAGTCTTATTTTTAGTACTGTCTGTCATTAATGTCCATAAATTTCGTTTAAAATACTGTTATTAAATTAAAAGATAGAATATTTTATAAAATACTGTAGGCGTCCTTAGATAAGTTTTTACCGTAAAGTAGACAGTAGATACTCTTGCATGGCACCTCTATAACAAAAAATACGATGACAGAAGTATTTTTTAAACTGATTTCTTTTTTATCAGAATGTTTATATAATGTATTTTTTAGCTGTCATTATTTAAAAAATAATATAAATTGTATTTTTATTACTATAGATCAGCAAAAAAAATAACATGCAATAGTCCATACCAATCTATCAAATAATTTATTTCGTATCAGTTAACACAGAATTCTTTTTAATATAGCTTATTTTATGGACTATTATTTTAATAAAAAGACATCCAAAGTCCATTTACTAAATATGCAAATTATAAAACACAGATTGCTATTATATATAACCATTTTCGCCAACAGATAAGTTGGTCGCACTATACTTGTATAATTTTGCTACCGTTCAGAAACTAACGATAATCCGTGACAATATCCACAGTTTATTATTGCATCGAACAACTATATGTATCTAACATCAATATATAAAAGCATTGCAGCGCATTAACACTGTAATTATTTTCTGAGGAATTCATTATTTAAACGATTTTAATTAATAAACACATTGCAAACTTTTTGGTAACAGCAAACAATAAATAATGCCTAAAATATTAATGAAAAACAATAATTGAACACAAAAAGCGCTTAGCGTATACAACTATACATAATTATACTATTTTTTAAATAAATTAACATAAAATACATGACCATATTTTGGAAAAAAAATATAAAGCTAAAAGCATTTCGTCTTACGAGCTTCGTATATGTAGTTGAAGTTGCCGTTTCATTGACGACATACATTTACATTTGAAACTATTTACTTATTTATGCTTCAATGCACACAACAACAAATATATATACATATATGGCGCATTTAACACCTTAAGATTCGGTGGACACACTAACTGCTATTTATATCTATATTATTTAAGACTTTACTAGAAACTACACACAGCTCAAAATCACTACAATCGCATTCATATTCGAAGTATTGAACACAGTATAATAGAAGTGCAGTCAAAAAATAGTATGTATAATAAAATTAAAAAAATATATTTATATCAAAAGAACATGAAAAAAAAACCATTAAGGTCTTTTCTCTATTTAAAATTGAGTTATTCAGTTCCGGTGACTTGGTGGTTATTTTTCTATTTCCACACAAACAATTATCAGTATAAAATTATTCATTTTACCGATTATTAAATTAGTTATACCTATCATGCCAGGTTTAACACAAACAGAGACATGCTAAAACATTTCTAATTTAATCGAAAATTAAAAAATAAAAAAAAACATCAAATAATACAATAATTGTTTCATAAGGACTCAGTCAACAAAGTGCTAAGTAATAACAATAAGACGAGATCCAATATTATACTATATAGGCAAGTTTTATACACAGCCATGTAAGTCATAAACATTGTGTAATAAGAATATATCAGTTTAATACCTAAGTTTAAGTTAGTTTAGTAAATTCTTTAAACAATACGTGTCCAATTTAAATATACGATAGTACAATAGAGTACTAGATATATCAGAATGAACGATCCTAAACATAGAACGGAGCGAATAAAAAACCTTTTTCAAAACTTCTTTTTTCGGTCATGACGTAACAACACAATAGTTGTACGTTTAAATACATCGCAAATAACCAGGCAAAATGTAAAAAAACTAATATTCGAGGCAGGTAAAAATCTAAACAAAGTATTTTTAACACATCCCGTTCAGCCATTGATAAAGCGATTGTCACTTATCTAATATTTTGCACAAAAACGTAAAAAAAACTTAATAAATACCTACAATAATTATGTTTCACATATACGCGCTACAACTATTTCAAAGGATAAAATTGGATAAAAATTTATATTTCCAGGTACACTATTCAGTACAACTATAACATCGAGTCTTTAATATTTTTAGAATTATTTTGGCACATTCTAAACCTATGACACCAAATTCAGATTACCATTATATACCATAAGAAAACAGAAAATGTAAGTCAACTTAAAATTATCTAATAATGAGATCAACATTCATAAGGACTATGGAAATGGGATGATTTAATTTTTGGTCGGCTGAGCACTTCCATCATTTGACGCCAATAAGGCAGACAATGTCGCGTGTGTAGCACTTAAAGTACCAGATGTTGGGCTTACAATGTTGGAAGTCGAATGGCCAACATTGGCGTTGCTAAGCAAACCACCGCTAGTGCCTGAACTGACAATAGTCACGTTTGGAGGCGGCGTGACACCGTTAGCGAAACCAGTCGACAACACCTTTTGGGTGTTATGCATCATAAAAGATTTAGCAGCTCCTGCACTACCAAGGGTAAGCACTTTTTTCAACATCACAGATGAATTGCATGCGTTATCAATCATATCCTTAGTTGTGGATATGTTGTCGAAGTCGCTCGAACTGGCTGTTACAACTGTACTGATTTTTGGGGTAGTTGTTTGCGAGATTGGTCGAACAGCAGTAACATTGAATGAGACTCCAGAAGTGACTGCTGTCAGGTTGGCACGGTTGAGAATGTTTCGGGAAACGATCGCGTTATGTAGTATATTACCCGTAGGGAATGATTTTGAGGAGACATTGACATACTGTGGAGTACCGATGATAGTGGCGTTGGACGTTCTCGTTCCGAAGCCTATTATAGTGCTTGCTGTACCTTGGGACATCACTGTACTAAATGTACCGGTTTTTGTGTTGATTGGAATCCTGTAAAATAATTACAATAGACTAAAAATTGGTTTTTTGTAGATTTTTTTGTTACAAAATTGGAATATAAGTAAATAGATTTAGATATAAGCAAATACAATTAATTTAGTATAATTCACAAATTAAAATGTGAATAGTAGTAGTAGATGTAATAATTTTATAAGAACAAAAACATCATTAATTTTTCTCGTTATAAACCTACAATTAAATTGTTAAGAATGTCTGATTGTCTCAGAATTCGAAATATAAACAAGTTGTGTATAATTATATAATTTTAATATAATGTAACTTAATATATAGGTTATTTTCTTAATACTTCCTACAACCAAATTTATATGTAGATCTATTTCAAGAAAACATTAAAAATAGTTTGTAACTAAAAAAAAAACACTTATTATAACCAGCCTCCATATAAAGCTAGATTTAATGAATAATCAACTCGATCAATAATCTTTTAAATCAACTATATCTTTTATGAAATTGTAAAGTGAAATTAGCAATTATTTTTAAAATGGAAATGAAATTACTTGTTGGAATTGGTTTAACTTAAGAATAATAATAATAACTTAAAAACTGACCCGCGAATCATCTGTGATGTAGAGCCGGGAATGCTCTGTATAGTTACAGTGGCCTGCGGCAAATGATGCACTGTGCGCTGCGTGGCTGGTGACGGGGCGGTAGGACTGGCATGGCTCACGTGGCCCGGGTGGTTAACTTGATTAGCGTGGCTCGTGTGGCTTGTATAATAATGCAATGTGCCGCCCGTGAGACGTGGTGGCGCGGCCAAGTGTGCTACCGGTACACTATGTACCATTCCACTGGTAGTTGATGCTACAGTAATGCACTTTGTTGTTTGGTTGCTTGAAAACTAAAATTGGTATTGCTCTGTTAAGATATATAAACAGCTGATAGCTAAGTAAACTAATGTATTGATTTATTTTTTGCAGACTACCTTGTAGGGACAGTTGTGAGCATATTTATATATTATACAAAATATTTATTTCAGTGCTTTATAGTGGTACAACTTCTGAGATTCAGTTCGTCACAAAGACACTCATATATAATTTGTTAAACACAGTATTACATATACTTTACAAAAATACTACTACAATTCTATACAATTACTAAATCTATCAGTACTCACATTATTAGTGTTCAATGTTGTCCCCAAGTCAAATTCATCACCAACTAATGTTATAGTATCAGGATTTGCTCCAGTTAGTTTCTCAATAGTCTTCCTAGCATCAGCATCACTCTCAATGTTACCCAAGTTTCGGCTTAAAAACTCAATATCTGCATCAAGCAACCCATCAACCAAGTTGCTTTGTTCATCTTCAGTCTGTTTACATAAAAACGCATCATCATTCTCTAACTTTATATCTTCAACTTTAATTGCTTCAACATTTATGTCATCAATATTTTCAACTTTGATAGCACTCACGTCCAAATCTTCTACTTTAATACCATCAACTTTTATTTCATCCAAATCTTCGACTTTAATCCCATCCATTTTTATATCATCAATGTCTTCAACTTTAATATCAGCAAAGTCTGTATCTTCTTTAATCATGTTTGATACTTCTGAGAAATCTCTTGTGTTGTCAGTATTTATGTATTGGCTCGTATTAAAGTTACTATCATAATTCTCATCAAGAGGTTCCAACTTAATATCTTCATTTAATTTGTCATCATGCACAGTACTAGTAGAAGGTTGAGGACTGTCCACATTGTCACCACTTAAAGCTCTTTTCAGAACATAGGTTTTAATTTTCCTCAACATAAATGGTGGTACTTTAAACCCTGTTAGCTCGCCAAGCATTGGTAATGAACTATGCCTGTAGGCATCACTATTTGCAAGCTCTTCTATATCTTCTAATACCTTTAAAATAATCATTTATATTTTTATTACTTATATTTTTTTATATCACAGGGGGCAAACGAGCATGCAGCTCACCTGATGGTAAGTGACTGCCGCCTATGATCACCCGCAACACCAGAGGCATTGCAGGTGTGTTGCCAATCTTTTAAAAATAAATATGCTCTTTTCTTAAAACTTATGATATCATATCGGTTCGGAAATACTGCTGTTGGAAATTGATTCAAAAGAGTGGTTGCGCGTGGAAGTGTCTTGAAAAACGCACGATAGAGGACCAACACTCATCCAAATGGTTGGAATGAAACTTTAGTTTATGACGGGTTGTACGCTGGGGAAAATTAAAAGAAGGTATCAATCCAAACAATGCCTCAGAGCACTCCCCATGATAAGTTTGGTAGAAAATGTACAGAGATGCAACATCTCTACGCAGTTTCTGTGGATCGAATCGGACAGTAAAGCGTTAATTTTAATAATTCGAGCCGCCCGAATTTGAATATGGTCTAACGAGAGAAGCTGGTACTATGGCGCTCCTGCCCATAGGTGAGAACAGTATCCTATATGTGGCCTGATTTGAGCTTTATACAATTTCAAGCGGTGTTTCGGCGTGAACTATCGTTACACTCTATTGAGCACCCCTAACTTTTTGGAGGTCATCTTAGTCTTTTCCTCCAGATGACCGCAAAACTGGACGTCGCTAGATATATCAACGCTAAGGACCCTTAGACACGACTTATTATCAAGGCAAGTGCCCTGAAAGTGAGGAGATATGACAAACAGCGTCTTTTTTGCGGTGAACGCGCAGACTTGTGTCTTTTTAGGGTTGAATTCGACAAGATTGTGTTCACTCCAGATAGAAACTTCAATCGAATAAAGTTACGATTACAGAATTTACAGACACAAGTCTCTTACGGCACTTATCGGTGCCCGCAAGATGTTTCCATGACCGGTATATAATGCATCCCTTGTACTGTTATCCTCATAGCAATTAATATTACTAATCTGTAACATATCATTGATATGCGGAAGAAACAGGGTCGGAGATAGTAAATAGCCTTGCGGGACATCAGCATTCACAGAGTTTAAATCAGAGCATGCTCCGTCGACTACGACCTTAATGCTACGTTTCTTGAGAAAACTGGACATACAACTGCACAATCTTGCAAGCAATCCAAACGGAAATAGTTTTGAAAGGAGTACTCTATCCACACCCGATCAAAGGCTTTCGCAATTTCCAGACTAACAACTAAGGCCTCTCCCTGACTGTCGATTGTCACTATGTTAGTACCAAGGTACTATTAAGTTACACAAAAATTATTCAAAAAATTTGAAACAATATGATAATGAAGTAAAATAGAATAAGTTAGATCATAGTACACATACCATAATGTAAGTTTTTCCACCAACAGCATTTACCAAATTGTGACTCGCTATCCATTCTTTATCAGCAGTATCTGCAGGATATCTGAGTAAACCAGCATGCCGTGTATACAAACGACCACGGGAGTTGCCCAATCCTAAAACCTAGAAATATAAATTGATTCAGAGGTACTTACATAACATACATTTAACTAGTGTAGAACTCTACATGAAAAATTTCAAAATACACAGAGAACTGTTTATTCTACATTTGTATCATTCAGTACAAAGTAAATAAATAATGAAATAATACGAACTTCAAATAGTATATTGTACCATTATATTGTACCACTTGGGTAGCAATATAATGTTGTACCTGGTAGTATTATAGAAGTGTAACCTTAATATGCCAGATGTTTCTCATTGCAAGTGAATATGATTTTAAAAATCATACTTTAGGTTACAGGTTATATCTGCAGTTAACTATCCACTGCTGAACATAGATTGAATATTTTCATAATATCTAAATTGTATCATCAACATTCTTCTATCATATAAATTCACTTTTGTTAGTAATAATGTATGACATGTATACAAGCGAAAATAATTACTTTATGAGCATGAGATCCCATAATAAACAATGTGTCTTGCGTTAGTCTTGTTGGATTCCACTTTTCAGGATCTCTTATAGCCGGTGATGGTAAAGGTGATGATGAAGCACTATCTGTGTTCTCTTCTTGTTTTACCTTCTTACGTTTAATGCACAAATCAATATCTTGTTCTGATTCTTTACGTTTAGTCTGTGATGGACTCTGCAACTATATGAAATAAATTGTTCATTGTAAACACAAATAAATAAGGAACACATGATAAAAACTCAAAAGGGGTCATGCTTCAAATATCGCTTCTTTCAATGTTATAAAGTAATCAATTGTTAACATTTGAGTTTTTTTCACATGATACCAAAGTACATTCCAATATACAGCTTTCTTTGCCATTACTCTACCTACATTATTCTGCTTTGCAAACTTGGAGTCAGTACTGTTGCTAGACTCAGAGTCACTAGTTTCATATGGTGATGGTGCAGGTCTTGGTGGTGTAGTATACAAAAGACGAGTAGCATCCAACATAGCACGGCAGACTGCACGGACCTGTAATACACATGGCACAAGTGATCAAACACAATTATAAAATAAATTGCAAAATCCTTATTTATATCAAATATAATTCTATATTTTTAGGTAGACTTATTGTGGTTAGAATGAAATATATAATTTATGTAAATTAATAATTATTTCATTTAGATTACCTGATCTTCGCTCACTGATTCGTCGCCCAAATTCAGTCTTATATTATTAACAGCAGGAACAAAAAATTTCTGAAAATTATATTTTTACAGTTAAGAATTACATAAAAATTTTAGTACAGGATTAAAGAAAAAAGATTATTAGGCAATTTGTTTAGTTTTATCTTTAAATGAAAATTATTTAATAAGTTTATACTCTGAAATATGTGTAGTTTATAATGATTAGGTTATTTATGTTTAATATTCTAGTAATTAACAAAAATAAAGAATATATTATCAAAACTAATAATAAAAAAACTACTTATATAATATCTAAGGATCCATATTACTAAATAACTAGCTGTAACCCATTGCTTTGCCATGTGAATTCAGAAAAAACATATATACTTTTAATGTTATTCTCAGATATAAGATTTGGTACATCAATGAAGCATCAGCCATTTCAGCCATTATTTGTCCATTACTGGACATAAGCCTCCCCCATAGACTGCCATAAAGAATGGTCTTGAGCCACCTGCATCCACTGACCCTGTACAATGTATTTCAGGTCAACCATTAAGCATGATAAACAAAAATTTAAACGTATTTATAAATATAACAATAATAGTAAAATTACATACTTCCAAATATTTTTTAATAACTTGATCAATCTCCCGAGTAACAGCTGACTGTATCGTCTGACGTAACATGTCCAATGATTTGTTTGCACTTGCTCGAAACTCAGCTATTGGTCTCGAGTGTGGCTGTACTGGTCCAGGCAGGCTGAATCTTCTGTGCATAGCTGCTAATGTATTTATTGCAATTTGTCGAGTAATGGGTTGCTTCTGGAAAGTTTTTTTTAATAGTTATAAGAACACATTATTAGGAAAACATTAACAGCATTGTGTCAACTCATAATATTACCCTGTTACTTGAGTCACTTCTCTAGAGGATAAGGGAAGAACACACAAAAAGAAAAACTAGAAAATTAAAAAAGAAAAAAAATATTATAAACTTTTTATATGTAACATAAAATGAGACCATATAGATCACAAAATACACTGACAATCATGGTAATCATTACACTTTGTAATTCCTGAGAACTATAGTGTCATCATACTCTATAATTTTACTACCATATTCCACCCTTCACATCGTCAGTCATGAAAGCATTGTTGCTTTATGAGAGAAATATAAATGAGACACAGATACCCCAGCGGATGGCTTTTATACAAAGTCCATGTCTTATATTTTCTTTCAATTATCAGTCTACAAAACATCAGAAATATGAGTAAGAAACAAAAATTCTAGACTAATAAAACATTGTTAATTTACTGATAAACGAAATGTTAACGTCAATCTAACGAATGGATAAATTCTGCTACCTAGTGTGGATAAGAAGTCATGCCATATCAACCATCAACCATTCATTACCAATTGGCAATAAGCAATTTCTGCCAACTAATATAATAGTACATGAAATTTTATTACATAGGTATTTTAAGTCACCTGCATATTGTTAGTCTCGTTGACTCGAACCGTAATTGTTGTTGATTTGGCAGGCGCCGGGAAATTCCATGAGCTACTTGAAGAATTCGCCGCGGCAGAACTCTGGTGGGACGCTTCAACGTTATTCCAATTCTTTTGAATCACCATTTCGACTAAACGAATAGCTGCCAAACTATCATAGCAAAATTTGCATTAAGAATATTCAGAATAGTTTATCGATAACGTAAATGTAGATGCATTTTTTAATTGATACAATCAATATTTCTCATTTAAAATTTATTTCAATTCAATCAGATGTCAAATATGATGCTTATCTGGATATTCTAATAATGCTATTCGGTAAAACACGGTCGGCGTTACTTCGTATAAAACACGATTGTATACAATCTATGCAATCAGTGGTGCAATTTTCTAAAATGTACGAAGTAAGAGCGATGACAGTATTATTTTACTAAAGTAACGGTATAATAAAATGGGGTAAGTAAGCTATGAATCTATATATACTATTATATCCATGGTAATGCTCATGTATATAAACAATTGTTATTATTGAGAAATAATTAGAAGAGCAATAACAAGGATTTGTGGCAATATTTATGAGTTATGAACACTGTTCTGTTAAGAGAGAAAGATGATTCTGTATAAAATCATAGAGATAGAGAAACCTTGTTAATTAAATAATATTTCCGATTATTATCGTAAGTAATATCCACGTGTATCAATAGTTATCATTTTTCGCCAGGTGAGCTGCCAGCTGTTAGTTATTCTAAGTTGTGTGAAAATTAGATAAAATGAAATGTGTTGTGAATGATGCTGATGATAACAGTGCGTTAAATTTAGCAATTTTATTCTAAAAAGTGGCTACCTCATTTATAATGCCTATCTATATTTATATTTTGAACAGAGCTATGTTATAACATACAACTATCTATAGATAGTTGTATAATACTATGAATATTCAATTACTTTGCTTTGTTGATGTGTGGTAGTTTAGTTGCATAACTACATTTTCCAATTTTTTGTTGTAAGGACAGTGATGACTATTAAATAATATAGTAAATTCTTGATCTGTGCCTTTGTGGTCAAAGTTGGAACATTGTTGTTGGAATGATTTTTTTCTATAAAACTATGTTACCAAACAGTAAAAAAAAAAATCCATCATAGCAGATCACGACCATCTTAAATAGGCGCCATGATAGTCAAAATAATAGCGCCATTTCAAAAACAGCGCTTCAAGTTTTTAACTAATAAAATAATTAATATGTGTTTTGATAAATTACGTAGTAATAAATGAAAATATAAATTAGTGTTCAGTATGATATAATACAAAGAATAAAGGACGTTTTTAACTGAATTTTTAATAGATTTGAACCGGTAATTAAACAATAATTATAACTGATATAGTTAAGTATAAATGGATCCCTGGTCACTCAAATATTTATGGAAATGAAATAACTAACCAATTAACAAAGGAAAGGACAAAGAATACTCAAATAGGACCAAAACCTTATTGTGGCATAGGTAGCTCGAAGCCTAAAGCTCAGACGTCTCAAACTTGAAAGCTTAGAAGCAGCAAATAATAGCTAGCTCCTGTTGCCAAGATTAAATCACTCAAAAGTCTTGATAAAGGGATTTTCAGAAAATTACTCTATAACATTGATCTTTTTGATTAAAAAATAATATGTGTGTGTTAACAAGGCCTCTCACTGAACACTATAAACTAAGCTAGCAAATGGCCCAACAAGGCTTATGCCCAAAAAGTGTTTGCAGATTTCGTCACAGTGAGGAAGGAGCGCCTCAGCACTTAATATATGGCTATAGCCCACGATAAACGATGTATCTTTTTTGGAAAACACATTCTATATTCTAAGGAGATAAAAAAATGTTGCTACAAAAAACATCTTAAAATTTCTGTCATTGATAGAACTTAGCAACGAACTTTAGAAAAAGGGTAAGCACAAAAGATCATAGAAAGGTCCCAGTGTCACAAGTTATTCTGACTGAAAAAGCCCGTCTATCAATAATAATAATAAAGTATAATTAAAATTTACATGTATTATCTAATTAATTAATATGTTTGTTTATATAGTTGCGGAGATAATTTCTATGTTATATTCCAAATTTTGCTGAACTTTCAAAATTAACTAAAATCCTTTAGTTAATTTTGTAAATTCCTACCATGTTTCCTTTTATATATCGATATGATCTAAAACTGAATTATAAGTAATGATATGTTACAAAGATAAAGAGTGCTTAAAATTATGTGTAAATAATTAATTAATGATATTCATTGTATGTGGTTTCCCGTTAAAATGTCACACTTTAAAATAAAAATGTTATTCATATTATAATTATATTTAATTGTAATGATATTATAACTACAAATAGGGATATTTTTCTATATACGTATAATATTATATAAAAATAATAAAGTACGTATATATTCTCTATTACGAGTCTTTTTCATATGCTGTTTAACTCAGCACAATGTGTCCAACTATTGTTTAATGTCTCTAAGAGAGTTTGCATTATGTGCCTGTCCAAAATATTAGATTAAAAATTGCAGTAGAGTAAATAAAGTAACTAAATGTTCTAATACCTACTTATTTTATTGTCCATGTTTTTCCTAAGATTTAAAAATTTTATATTATAAACGCCTAGCTAAGCTTTTTTACGACAACTGTCTATATATTGGATGAAGGTGTATAGCATACAATACTATGGATATTTATTTATGTTTCTTGTTTTTAATTTTAATTATACTGTTGCTTTGAAAAGGTCATTCATTTTAATTTGGAGATTCCGTTGATACAAGGCGGGTGCCAACTCTTATAACATAGCGATTACTTTTTCTGTGATCCTAATGAATAAATAAATAAATGACAATACTGGTCTGCCAATTGTTTTATTTTTTGGCAAACATTATTACATAATTTTTTTCGCTATTTTATGTAAAAAATTTATCCTAACGAGATTTAGGGGAAATATAGTAATAATATATAGGCATTGTTAGAGAAAATTTTTGAAGAAAAGAAAGAGGCATGGACAAATTTGAATAAACTATTTCAGTTTTAGATTTTGTAATTTTTTAGTGTTTCCTTTTTTGTTATTTTTTTAGTTATTAAATGGCAAAATGTAGTGATAATTGAAATAAGTTTGGAATGAAAGTAAGTTAAATATTTTGTTATTTGGGTAAAAATAAAAAATAGCATCTGGCAACCCTGTTTTCGTGTTTATTTTAATTTTATTTTTCCTCTTCAATTATACAATAGCTAGGTCTTTGCCTGTTTTCATTTTTTCACTCTAGTTTGCCGTCTTCACATTTAGAAAGGTAACCAATTACTAGTTCTTATAATTATTGTAGTTATTAAATTATAATAAAAAAATATAGTATCTTTTCCGGTGTTGTGGCCACAAATTTTAACTACATATTATCATATCGCACTATCACTGTTTTAGCTATCTCTTTGCGGTTGTCAATTTTAATCAAGTTTCTTTCATTGTCATTCAGTTGTACAGCCGTTGTGTTAGTATAAACACACCCTTCTTTTCATTGTAATTATTTAAGTACAGAAGAAATTGAAATTCCGGGTAAGTTTTACTTAAAATGTTTGTTCATATCAAAGGTTATATTTTTCTTTTTTCTGTATTTGTATGTCGATTTTATGGTGTCATGTTCATACCTACTTCTGCCAGTGTTTGAACTTTGGACAGTCTAGCAAACAAATATTCAAGGCTTCTGATGTCTTCTTAAGATTGTTGTTACTAATTTATACATAGGTATATTTAAATATATCTATGTATTTAAGTATTTAACTTTAATACTTTCCATTAATATGTTATTTCGGTAGGTACATATATTAATACAATTAAATCTTTCATAAAGTATATTGGTCAATTTGATAATAATGTTTATATGTATCATGTTCATGTGTAAAATGACTATAAATAATTAAAATTTAATTTGAATTTTATTACTTTGATTACTTTAAAGTATTTAAAATGATTAATTTAGAGATTTAAAAAAATATGGTTTTCTATGTTTAAATGTAGTTCTGTTTATCTATTTTGTATTTTTACTACTAGATACCATTTTTGGTACTAGATGTTTGTGAGGAGACATAAATAAATATTATATTTTACCATAGATATTATTAGTATCTACTGGAAACACCTTGAATCTTTCAGAGTAGGTGAGAAACCATAGAAAGTCAACCATAAAAATTAAATATTTATTTTTTATAGTAATTTGTATACTTTTAAAAATAGCATGTATCTTAGTATTCTATTAATATTTATACCTACCTGTTTTTCATATGATTCTTTATATAACTTCTAGTGTGTATTATTTATAATACAATGTATATAACATAATAAACAGAGTTAATTATAAAAAATATATCAAGCAGAAACTTAATAGTATGATTATTATTAAAATTAAATGACTTTAGGAGACATAATAAAATATTAAAAAACAAAATTAAGAGCTTTGATATTATTAACTAATATGGTTTTAATGGAATTATATGTACTCATACTTTGTTTAAAAATTGTTGAAGATCTTACTTAGTTAATATAAAAAAGCTTTAAAAATTTGATAGATATTGACACTTTTCATTACTGGATTTCAGGCAGTAATTGATTTAGTATGTCTTAATTTTAAACTTGTAAATAATGAATATGCTCAATTACCCAATTTTAAAACTCATATATTACTTTAAAAACCTGAACTATGGTAAAAATAAAAAGTTGTAGGAAACCCAAAAATTTGCTAACTGTTAATGATAAAAGTTCAAACTGTTTTATGTTCATATACTCAGTAGTAAACATAAAGCAATAGACAAAATTTAGACATGTTTGTGATGCTCATGCTCAAAGTCAGAAAGGTAGGTTAGTTTATGATTGGTTTGATGAAAACTCAAAAAAAAAAAATTATAATTATTTTTACAAAATCTTTATGTTGATAAATCTTGAGATTTACTAGTAAAACCTAAGTTTTATCAATATACAGGCTTTTACAGTAACATATAAAATATTAAATTCTTTATATATTATACATACATGAGTATGTATTGTATTGTATGTATAAGTATTATCAGATTTCATGTTTTAAATTATCTCAAATAGATATAATGTTCAAAAGGTATTATATAATATGCATAATGTCATTCTATATAACTAGTATCTTGGCATCTTATTTCTCAAGTTACAGCATGTAACATCCATAATAAACAACAATTATCTGAAAAAGATATCCAAATAAAATCAAAACGATTATCGGATAGGACAAACATAGCAGAACAATCAATTCCCGTTATGTATTGTAATTAAAAATTTTATACAAATTTGAAAAATCATATAAATATTTAAAGTTTCATTCAAGTCAATGCTGTTTTAAAGATTAGCATAAAAAACATCATACACAATTTTTATATATGTATTAAAATGTTACATGTTAAAAGTCCTGCTGAAATTTTTGCTTCAATGATAACCTAAGTATTGTAAGTGGGTTATCATTATTGCTAAAATTTCATTGGAGCTGTTCGCCACAAAGTATACTTTTTATAGATAAGTGTGTAATATAAAATAAACAATTGACCAATTGTTTTAATCTGACATTGTTATCATTAAATTGAATATTTTTAATATTCATAAGTAATGCAGTGTTAAGCGATTTCAAGATTAATTTTATAAAATTTTGAACACATGAGTACTTTCTAATTAATATGTTTGTATACTGATATTAACAAATCATCTACGTCTACTGCTTACATACTTAGAAAAGCATACATACAGCATGAACCTCAATCCAATTTTTTTATTCCTTTATAGACCTATTTTGCTTTGGTGTATATTTTTTGTTTGCTGCTTTTTGTGATGATAAATTTACTTAATGATTTTATTTTATATTAACCTGTTGAGCATGGCTTATTGTAATAAATTGTTGAAGTTCAAATTATTTATTTGTTAAAAATATATAATCATTATATCATTAATATTGTACTTTCTTCTTCTTCTTCTTTTCGTTAATGGCAATTGGTCGCTATTTTACGACCATTTCTGCCAGCGTCATGTATAAGAGGCTCGTACTGGAGATAGAAATTATATCTAAACCACTGGTCTAACTTTGAAGTTTTTGGTATAAAGCTGAAAAAGACAACACAACACAATATGAGTTAATATTGTACTTTATAAAACCATACTACTATTCTCATAGCATTAATGTCTTTAGTAGTAAGCAATAAATTCTGCTAAACATTAAATTTTGGCAACACTTAATCGATCAAATTTAAAGAAATTAAAATCTATTTGATATATTAATAATGTTGTAATATTATTACACTTATTTACAATATAAACACAATAAATTGTTTTTTTTTTTTTCAGAGCAACATGTCGAAGATAAAGGCTGGACCCGTCGTTGACATCCTTGGCGATGAAATGACAAGAATTATCTGGGATCTGATTAAAAATAAGCTTATTTTACCATTTTTAGACATTGAATTGCACACATATGACTTGGGCATGGAATATCGTGACCAGACAGATGATCAGGTCACCATTGATTGTGCTAATGCTATAAAAAAGTACAATGTTGGTATTAAATGCGCCACCATAACACCTGATGAAAAAAGGGTGGAAGAATTTAAATTAAAAAAGATGTGGAAGAGCCCTAATGGAACTATCCGTAATATTCTTGGAGGTACTGTATTTAGAGAGGCTATTATTTGCAAAAATATTCCTCGTCTTGTAACTGGTTGGGAAAAACCAATTATCATCGGCCGTCATGCTCATGCTGATCAGTACAAAGCAACAGATTTTGTTGTACCTGGTGAAGGTAAACTTGAATTGATTTGGACACCTCCATCAGGAGAGCCAATCAGACAAGTTGTGAATGATTTCAAGGGCGCTGGTGTAGCTCTTGGTATGTTTAATACTGATGCATCTATAATCGACTTTGCTCATTCGTCATTCAAATATGCTCTGGACAGGAAGTATCCACTTTATCTGAGCACAAAGAATACCATTCTTAAAAAGTATGATGGTCGTTTCAAGGATATTTTCCAGGAAATATATGATAAGCAGTACAAAGCGCAATTTGAAGCTGCTGGCATCTGGTATGAACACAGATTGATTGATGATATGGTTGCCTACGCAATGAAATCAGAGGGTGGCTTTGTATGGGCTTGCAAAAATTATGATGGCGATGTACAATCTGATTCAGTAGCTCAGGGTTATGGATCTTTGGGTCTTATGACATCTGTTCTTATTTGCCCTGATGGAAAAACTGTTGAGGCTGAAGCAGCTCATGGCACTGTGACCAGGCATTACAGATTCTATCAACAAGGAAAGGAGACCTCCACCAATCCTATTGCTTCTATCTTTGCATGGACCAGAGGTCTTTTACATCGTGCCAAACTGGATAACAATCAGGAACTTAAGAGATTTGCTGAAACTCTTGAAAATGTTTGTATTAGCACAATTGAATCTGGTGTAATGACTAAAGATCTTGCTATTTGTATCAAGGGCATGAACAATGTACAGAGATCAGACTATTATGAAACCTTCGAATTTATGGACAAACTAGCCGAAAATCTTAGAAAGAGTTTAGGCAAGTGACTATCTATTCAACAGTCGAAATGTAATCTATAAGATTTTTATCTTATAAAATCATTTATTTTTGGCATATGGGTATATAGGGAAGGTATTTTTTTTACTTAACTAAAGCAGTTATTTATTTGTATTTTATTTTTTTCAATAAATGTATTATTTTACAGAGCCTTAACAATATTATAATTACAAAACTTTCCCTACACTATTAAGTGCTAGTTTCCTCTTTCTTATATTTCCATTTTTAATTGCCGGCCGATGCAGTTTGACGCAAAAGCGACGCGACGATTAACATAGTACACAATTTTTCGGTACATCTTATCAATGACATTTGTACCTGTTGTAAATAGTTACTTTTTTTACACTACTAAGGTGGCAAATAAGCACACGGCCCACCTGATGGTAGGCAGTTACCGTAGCCTATGAACGGCTACGATACCAGGGCCATTACGCGCATATTGCCGACCCTGAAGAAACCTCTTTACAAACCCCATTTTAAGATCCCTTTGCTGTAATCTCTTGGAAAAGCCTCAACCGTTCGTCGTAGGTAACATCTTTGTACACGATCTGAAACCGCGCTATACATAATCATCCAAGCTCTAAGGTATTGTTAACATTGAATTTTCAATTAGCATAATTAGATTCGTTACTATCGGTCGACTCGCTGTAGGTACTTACTACTTGTAAAGTCAAATAATTGCTTATGTATATATTTATATACAAGTACATAAATTATTGCTTTTTCATTCTTAAATATTTTTAAAACAAATTTATTTCATACAGTACCACTTTTAATGAGCAATTATAATCTAAATTAGTTACTGTATAATAAATAATACCTATCAGTTTTGAAATATCTTAATTCTCATACATGTTACAACTGTCTAGGATAAGCGACTGTTGTGCCGTATCCTAATATGGGCTATATATATGGTTGGGACATAGTACGATTATGCTTAAATCTCCTACTTTAGATCAGCCAACATCTTTCATATTAGATAATTTTCGAAAGCAATTTAAATGTACTGCATACAAAATGCTTTGATAAGGTTCAGGCTGACACGAAACATCATTAGGTCATTAAATATTAGGTCACTATAAATACGTTTTATGGACCTATCAAATAAATATACCTGCTTAGAATAGATTGGTGGTTGTAAAATAAAATCCAATGTTTTGTATTAACCCTCCTGAATGGCCATATTGAAAAAATTTACATATTTTATATCATGAATTGACCATTGAGATGTTGATGTCATCTTATCTGACTAGGGCATTGGCCGTACTCTACACACAGTGCTAATCCTAAACCCCGAGGCGTAAATACATATACTGGCTGTAGCCTGCGGTTTTATTCATTTGAACTGGAATAAATGGTACCCTATGTCTTAATTTAAAACATAGAGTAATATTAATCATATATTAGACCATAATAAGGCACCAAGTTTCATTCGAATCAATTTAGCCATTTAAATAAGAAAAATCTAAACAAATTTTTAATTTATTATTTTTTTCCATATTTATCCACAGGTAATTTAATAGAGTATCTATCTATCTATAACTTCATGATTCATTTACGTATGTAAATCTGTTTATAAATAGCGCTCAAGTAAAAAAATCTTATCAAATTCGTGATTTGCTTGTAGTTAAAAAATTCATCACTTACTCTTTGTACTCATTAAATAAGTATATGGACCAATATTTATGTCTATAAAAATCATGTTACTAATTATATATATATGGATTATAACAAAATTTATCTCTGTTATAAATTTTGTTATGAAATACCATACATTGGTACGGCTTAATTTTTTACAAAAGATTCATTTATGAATATATTGCAATATTTACATACCTATTTATTTAATATAACGTGAGTAGTATGGTCTTACGGTCTTTATATTGGAGTATCTATAGAGGATACCTACAATGAAACGCTTTTATTTGGATAATAGATTTAATTGACGCTGACTTTTAATCATTCTACAATAATTTCGATAAAATTCTTAAGTAATATTTTAAAAACTTAGTTGCAGGTTGTACATTAGTAGATCTATAACCATTCTTAAGAGCTACGTTCTCAGTATGGAGTTATATAAAGATTTTTGTTATTGCTGTGATTACGTACATGTTGATAAGTTTATATGGTATTTTAAATAATATTATTTTATGAAACAATTTTAAAAAATACTAAATTTAGTTCATATTTACTGTTATTATTGCAACTTAAAAGATAAATTTTCAAGGACGAACCTCAAAGGTCTATACTTCTATATCTATTAAATGGTAACCATTGCGTGTTCCCGTTCTTGAAAACTAACAACTTATGACTCCGTTACTAGTAAATTTTACCGTCATTATATAAGCACAACGTCGAAACATCGAGATAACCCAGGTAAATTATCATAGTTTACCTAAATGATTGCGTTAATTTCTCTCTCTTATAAACCATGCAACGCGGAAGTCTAAAAGTTGACATACAAGCGCAGCTGCTATACGGTAGAAAAACGAGTGAGATTAAGAAATAGACTACAGAGGTTCCCAAGTAGACAATTTGTACAAAGTCCCCCTCTGGTATTTGATAAAAATATACAAAAACTTTTTATTACATTGAAGTGGTAAACAAACAAACGGTCCACCTGATCGTAAGCGGTTACCATAGTCTATGATCGCCTGCAATACCTAGGTTGCTAACTCTCGAAAGGGCCAACCCGGGAGAGTTATTAAAAGTAAATCATTAAATATTTTTGAAATTTGTATTTCTTTTCGAGCAGCGTCTAATATTTGTCGGTTTTTATTACAAAATCATAAAAGTTTTTACATGAAAATTCTAATTTCGTTAGTACTAGTAACTCTGCTTTTACTAAAGAAATACTCATTAGGTTTCTTTTATTGCTCCATCATACTGATAACATGCTTGCATAAAGCATTAGAGACAGGAATGGAAGGAACAAACGTGACTACTCTTTTCAATTCAGGACAGGGATTTCTATCTTTCGATTTCGTAAAGAAGTCAACCCAGCATAAATCCACTCTATTTTCTTCAACGAGATGTGGTCGCATCTCACGCAAAAGTCCAACTCCATCGAACAATTTGTCACTATCTAAGTCAATATTTTTAGAAAAGCCGGAGAAATTATTGCATTCCGGGAGATCAGGAGGTTAACCATTGTTACAGGAAGGGCAACGCATGGAGGGTATCATGGGCGAAACAGTATACTCTGTTATGTCCATGGTACTGCTCATGCCTATAGCTGACGGTTACCACTTTCCATCAGGTCGTCAGCTTGTTTGCCATTCTAAGTTGTATAAAAAATATATAGCTATATCTCCCCAGATCAATAATAATTATTACGTTATTATTATTACACTAATCGTATTACGCGGCTTTGCCTGCGTATATTGAGATAAAAAGCAGGTATCCCGTTGTTTGCTGCATATGTTCACTTTTTACAACACAGGGGCAAACGAGCATACGGCTCACCTGATGGTAAGTGACTACCACCGCCCATGATCACCCACAACACCAAAGGCATTGCAGATATACTGCCGGCCTTTTAAAAAGGAATATGCTCTTTTCTTGAAGGTTATTATGTCGTATCACTGTGTATTAAATCTGTTTAACCGTTCTTTTAATAGATGAAGGTGAATAGCAAGACACTAATAAAGGATGAAATCAAATTAATAGGCCAGCGAAGAATTAAAGCTGAATTAACTACAATGCTTTCCAGGGAAAAGTCATATGTAAGGCAACCTGATTAGACATAGTCCCTTCCCCACCAACGTCTAAACAGCTGTATTTAGTTTTTATATTCGTACAGAACCGTTGGTAGATAAGTCCTAATCGCAATTGGCCGGTTTTTTTATTCATAAACTCCATTCCGTAATAAAGTAGATACCTATAGTATAATTTTGCGGAAATATTTTCATGGGCAATATGCGTGTTCGTTGTCGGGTGTATTCTATTGATCTGGAATTTCCGTGCATTTTTAAACATAGACATTTAACATGCCGCTTGGAACATGCATATCTAAATTAATTAGTCGGTGGATATTACCTTGTTTTCACTGGAAAAATGCAGTGATTAAGTAGGTTTTTTTTATAATTCTATAACACAATTTGTAACTTTATTGAAAAGTTTTGCTGCCCTCTAGATGGACATTTTTAAAATGGCGGTTTTTTATGTTTATGTTATGCGATATCTTTTTTAATTCTAAACTAACTTGGGATTTTCAAAAAAGAGGATTTATTTTTGTAATCAATTAGAGAGGTTCGATTGAATGTTAAGTATGTACCTATCCAGAGTCACAAATTTTAAGTATACTTCTATCCACTAGATCGACTTAAAATTTAGTATAGGCAATTAGTAATATAGCTCTTTATGGTAACTTTGTTGCTGTGTGGGTCCACCATACAATAGGCCACCCCTTACTTTCCCATGGGTGTCGTAAGAGGTGATTAAGGGAGGGCGAGGGATGGGCAGCAGCGTTCCTCTTAAAACATTTCCAAAGCCTAACTACGTTTATCAATCTGCCTGCCAAGCATGGCAACAACTGGCAAAACCCCCAAAGGGGAGGCTTATGTTCAACAGTGGACAGTTAAGGTGATGATGATGTTAGTTAATTTTAATCTTTCACGTTGTTTACCCACCTTGTGTCGTGATCACATCATGGTACAATCCACGTCGGAATGTCGGCCATAAAGGAGCATGTTCATCTGTGAAGCTTTTACATCGCGTTAAGTCCCGATTGTGTATTTAAAATAAATGATGATGTTGTTGTATAGTTTACTGTCAACCCAAATCCTCAATAATGTACAGCTGTGCTTTTGTTTTCAAAACCGCTGGAATGGGTCTAATGGTGAAGCCTAGAGAATCCTTTTTTATCATCATTTCTATATACAAAGAACCTATTCTATTTGTTTCTATTCTTCGGTAGTATAATTTTCTTCAGTAGCGCGTAAAGATGCATCAATCCCAAAAACGGATTTAAGATGGAATTCTGTCCAGGTAATGCAATGTCAGTCCAACTTCGCAAGTTTAATATTAAATTTCATATATGCGATTTTTGCATTTACAGTCAACGTACAGCATACAAAGAAATGCAGTCGTGGAATATAGTATTAAATTATATAATTATTAATGTCTGCGTGCAGCAGACAAACGCCTGAAGTTCAAGGATGGTCATAGGTATTTGACGTCATCAAAAATTTCACGCATATGCTAATAACATCTACTCAGTAAATTACCAAATTTCGCCATAAATTCTCATTATCTTTACTAATATAATAAATGTGAAAGAGAATTCTTTTGTTTATTTGTAACCTCTTGATGTTTAAACGGCTCAACCAATCATTATAATATTTGGTTTACATACAGGTATTATTTATAATAGGTACTATTTGGGATGGAAAAAGACAGCTCATTTTTGTCCCGGTTAATGAACGGTCGCAAAGAGTAGGAGGTAATTAGTATTAATAATAAATTTTCATACTCAATCTTAAAAATTATATTTGTGCCGGTACTAAAATATACTTACTTACTACAAAGAACCTCATCAAATCGATGTATACCTACACTATCCTCTCGTAAGGCTTACCCTAATGTGGTGAATCGGTTAAATTTTTCTATTACTAAGTCCCTACGAGACGGGTCGGCAAATAACTTTTCTTAGTGAATTACCGGCGGTTTCCCCTACAAGATCGGCCCTCCCGCCATCTCTCCCTCCGAGTGGAGTGCGCCATTCAACGACGGTTCGCGAAGCTCTCACGGTGCTTACCGCTTAGTACTTCAGTTTGGCGGGCTTAGCGTACGCCAACAGACGCCTCGGTCATCTCTTACCGGATTGGCGGGAACTCCTCGCGCACGTCCTGAACGTAACCTACAACAAACAATAAATTTTTGTTTATGTGTAAATCGTGAAAGATGTCCCTTAAATCGAGCTACTTGATGCTCTTGCCATTACTCATCTTAAATAACGTTACGGTAAGCTTTCAGATTTTTAATATGAATGTCTTAGACTTGGTTATTTTTATTTGGTAGCAAATAAGGTATGGTAATAAGAACAAATGAGGTATAGTAATAAAAATACCCTAATCTGTAATTACTTATACAATTGCAGTCTAGCAGTATATTTATTTAATGAGTAATACATAATAGTCAATAAAGGTAGATTTACAGAACAAATGTTTACCTTATACATCAAGTAATTATACCTGAAAGTATAATTCAGGGAAGTTCATCGTAGTGACAATTTCAAGCGAATGTTGCGTGATTTTAAGAATAAATTTTTTTTTTATATCCATTTAAACGTAAAATTTATTATTACATATTTAACTGCAATCATTTTCAACTACCTACTTATTTAATATTTTGTTGTTTTTAATAAGAATTTATTTTTATGAAAAGCTTCCTATATAGAACAGAATCAGAATTATTCTAGACTTACATTCAGTAAAACATTAAGTTATGCCCTAAGGTTATGACACTGTTATATTTTTTTCCCGTGATGACTGCAAACAATTTTATGAATATTTAAAAATAACACACTTTTTAAAGTTCGTGCTTATTTAAAATACACTGCATTTCAATTAAAATACAAAAAGAAAATTAATATATTTTTTTATTTTAATTTTAATGAGTAAGAATAATATGTACTAAAGCCACTAAAGGTCAATGACAATATATAAATTACACTGCAACGGATTATATTATTTAAATGCGCCCATAACTCAAGTTACATTGGCATCTCATCTAGCCGAGGGCTGATAATTGTACAGCGGAACCAAAACATGCTTATTTGTACAAACGTTCATCTACCACGTGTATAATCGTTTAAACATCCATTAACATACGATAAGCATCGATAACTACTAACAGTAACAGTTGCAACATCGTAAGTTCATAAGCAAATCGATCTGCGTTCAAAAGTCGATTGGGACAACTTGAATCTTGCTTCGATGATTATACCTTTAGATGAAATCTACAAACACTTGGCATACACAAATTGATAAAAATATGTAATTTTTGATACCACATTTATTATTATTTATTAAGCTTTAGCCAGAAGTCATTAACCAAAAAGAAATGCATGTCATTACAAACATGAACTTAAATTACTATAATATAATAATTTTAAAGTTAATACTAGTTTCAGCCATTAGATATTCAATACCAGAATATATAAAACTTCAACTTTGTTACTCAATAAAAAGGGTTTATATTTGAAAAACGAAGTAAACAGAGCATAATGATGTTTATCTTTATCAAAGACTGTAATTGATATCCTAGAAAAAAATAAATAAAAAATGTATTACCTGTTAGAATCATTAAACTTCAAAATTTAAAATCTATCTAATCTGGGAATCTTCAATTGAATTATTTGCAGCAATTAAAAATGACGTACTTCGTTATTTTTTTTTAATATATATCGGCCATTTACTATTCTTGGGTAACTGAATTCGGGCCCGTTTTTGACACTATGCTCCACCTTGAAGTATATGATGCAGTCTCGCATATCGAAATACCATACATATCGAAGGGCGTATCCAGAAGCAGCCATAAGCCGATGAGAACCGCTAGTTCGCCATATCAATTACTACTGCCGCTCTGGTGCACCCAATTACTGGCTTTGCTTCACATAATTCTTATACGGGACATTAATACCATCCGTCGGAAAATCATACAGTTTTAACAAAAATTACACAGTTTGAAGTTTATATTAGACAGTTATATAAACAGAGATTATTATTTTTGTTTTTTTTTTCTTTACGTACTTTTTTTTTATTGTATTGACTTGCAGTTGGATCGTAGAATTCAGAAGAAATATAAAAAAGAAACTATAAACGGTAATAGGGTAATTAATTTTAATAATAATTTACTAATAGGTAAAATATCTCTGTGTCCTTAGATTTTTTACTAATGAATCCTAGTATCAGTTATTATCATGACAATAAATATAGATAGTATGTAGGTATATACCAAATTTTATTTATTGTTAGTTAATTCATTAAGGCGCCAAGAAGAAATATATAAACTTTCATATATAGAAACCACTGGTATCCTTTAAGAAGAGTGTTCTACGACCGAAATTGAACGATTCTCAAAGAAACGTGCGTTGAAGAACGACAAAAAATGTTGACTCTTTAATACAATTTTAACTAGTCGCAACGTATTAGTATGGAAATGTCACAATTGTTTGTCTAATGACTTCGACTCTATCTTGTATAGTATTGAAATAGTATTTGTGATTCACGGAATTTTGATTAAAGCCGCATAAAGCTGTATAAAACTGAACTAGCGCGCGTGGGAATCGTCTCTGTCCATGCAATTAGGGAACGCCGGGAGCGGAGGCAGTTCAATTACCGCACGCGTTGTTTTTATTGCCATTCGTCTTGTGGAAGCATTGAAAACTTCCGAAACCATTTGCATACGAACATCAAAATGCTTAAAAATGTTAGTTATGTTAACATTTATGAAGTTTTTGATATATTTCTATATTTATAGCAGACAACCAATAACAGTTACGTTTTAATAGAGATGGTAATGTGTAGCCCGCGAGTAGTTTATACAACGTATATAACTGCTTTTTTACATCAACCATATATTGGACAACCTTATTTTTTCTATAATGCATATGCTGCGTTATCTTAGATAAAAAATAGAATTACGAGTATGTTATGCTATGTCTATAATTTATATATGTGATATATGCAAAAAATATGTACCTAAGTATTTTTATATAAATATTTTTGTGCTGAAACAGCAATATAGTCTTGTTTCGATATGAAAATAAGATAGTCAAATGTAATTTGGAACTCAAAAATACAATACATTGTCTCATTATATCATCAGTATTTTATTTAATAATTGTGAGTTTCATAATTATTTAAATCTATGGGATTTACTTCCGTGTTAGTGTCATATAAATATTATTACGATGAAACTCGCAGTATTTAGGTACTTGGAGCAAAATCTTAAGTCATTATTTTATATTTCCATATTAAAAGCGATTGTTACCACTTTATATCCGTTCGTTTATTATTTATAACACTAATTTACTGAGAAAATAAAATTAGTTAATTAAACCAGTTTCAAATGCAACGATACCTTGTAACGAGACAGATAAATCAATGCTGATGATGAAATAGTAAAAAAATAAATCAGTATATCTATGGTAAAAATCGTAAAAATGGAAATCATGGTGCCCACCTCAAAAAAGGTAACGCGCACGTGACACCCCTAGTGTTACAGGCGTTCGTCGGCTACAGTAACTATTTACCATCAGACAGGCTGCATGCTTGTTTGTCATTTTTGTGGTATAAAAAAAGGATCGAAACAAAACTTCAAAAAATAAGTCTATATATACATATATGCATTTTTTAAGAACTAAAGCCCTCTCTAGAAAATAATTTTAAAACCGCTAATGGGTAAATCTAGAGTGAAATTAATTAAAGTGTCCTGATTTAATACTCCTACATAAACAAAACGAAAATATAATGCACGGTGTGGTACAAATAATTATTACTTAATGAATTAATACAATTTCATTTTTTACAGTAAGTCTTGTTATCAATCAGACGATGCGTAACAAAACACGTCAACGCAATGTAAATCACTCGCTATGGTAGGCAAGTGAGAAAGTGATTTGTTGGAAAAAAATACACCTACCTATTCGTTAAGTATGTGTTGCCACTCCATGTCATCGACCCAATCCAATTAAAATTGCATAATAGAAGCTTTTTTCGTCGTGAATCAAATTAGTTTTTTAAACGTTACAAATTTACGATAAGTATTCTGATAATGTCAATGTCAGTTATCTGTAATCAGTGATGGTAGATCACCAGATACGTATTGAGGACGAAGTATGCAGTATAATATAAAGATAATAAGTAAACCAAAATATATATTTTCTTCTTTTATTTTTGCGTTTCCTAACGCAAATGTAAAAAATACAGTGGAACATATAACCTTCTCCTTTTTTTAAATCGATTAAAAACAGCAAATGTGGCCGTAATTCGTTTATTAGATACAAGTACCTTCAGTAAACGTGGTCGGAGACTTCTGTATTCTAAATTGTCTAACAGAAAACAAAATTTTTGTTCCTATATTTCTTATATTATGCATCATATTTCATATAATAATTAGCATAATTTACCGAATATTACTACGAAATAATTCAAGTAATAAATACAACTACTAATTATAAAGGAAATTTTATGTTTTAAAATAGACATGTAAATCTAGGGCATTAAAATAGTTACCGATATTTTAAATGCAAATGTCAATTTGTTTGTTTACTTGTTTTTTACCTCATAGGGCCTTAACGGCTCAGCCAATTGTCATAATATACACAAAATATACGGAATAGAGGTCATAGGCTACTATTTAAGCACGTCACTGTACATATTCTGGTTACGCGGATGAAGCCACGGGTAAAAGCTAGTTATAAATAATTGAGTCCTGGTGAAAGCTGAATATTTGGATCGTTAACATTTTGCAATGATATTAGATCTGTAAAGCTCTAAACGTGACAGTTAGATGCCTATTGTTGTCCCACAAACTAAAATAGCATCACGTGTACCTATATAAACTAATCTTGTTAAAAGATATGATCTTATCTCACTTTAACAGTACATTGAACTTAATACCAGACCAATTTCGATTGGGTACGTTTACTTTCCAAAAAAAATTGCATGCGTAAAGAGAATTTCAACAAACTACAATGCTATTGTAGCGCGACTAAAGTCCCAATTAGGAGCACTGTTATCTTATTTCTACTATTGTTGTATCACTATTTTATAAGTATCCGTCATTATAACAGAAGCTGGTTTTGCTTCTCACGCAGTGCTTTTTGAGAATATCTACTGATTTTAGAAGCACGTAAACACTTTCTCGTTTTAGTTGTCGTTGAACTTTTTTTTATTACCGAATAGACTTACTTTTAATAAAATTTATCAAATTTTAATGCTCTCCAAGACATTTCA